AAAATAGCCCCGACTTTTTCTAATAAATTGTACACTAGATATTTAATACTGGCCCTTAATCAGGCTAGCTACTCCATTCTGCCACATAAAGCTGTTCAGTGACACTAAGCACAGCTCAGCGGCCCCCGACGGCTACCCGTTTGACTTCTCTGTCCGAACTTACCTTCCAAGTCATCAATGGTCTTCTCCAGCTTGGCTACCGATCTCTCTGCAAACTCGGCCCGAGTCTCAGCCTGTGAGGAGGAGGAGGAGAAGAGATTGGATTTATACCCCGCCCTTCACTCAGAGTCTCAGAGCAGCTTACAAACTCCTTTCTAGCGTCACATCCTGGCGACGGCGGGTGCAGCGCGCACAGCCGTCCCCCGCGGCACGCATCCTGCCAGGAAATAGATTTCCCCCGCCGGCGTTTGGTAAGCCTATTTATACCCCACCCTTCACTACCCAAAGGTGTCTCAGAGCAGCTTATAAACTCCTTTCCCTTCCCCTCCCCACCACAGACACCCCGTGAGGTAGGTGGGGCTGAGGGAGCTTTTTCGAAAACTGCTCTTTCCAGGACAGCTCTTGTCAGAACTATGGCTTGCCCAAGGTCATCCACCAGGTGCAAGTGGAGGAGTGGGGAATCAAATCCGGTTCTCCCAGATTAGAGTCTGCGCACTTAACCACTACACCAAACTGGCTCTCTTCTGAGAACTGGTCAGAAAACCAACCAGGCCTGCTACGAACGATAAAAAGGAATAGCTGATGGCCAACAGTCCCATTGGAGCTGGACGGAGGGACCTGGAGACTTTGAGCATCGATGGCCCCTTTCTCCAGCACACACACACACACACACGCACGCCCTTTATGCCCTCCACGATGCCTACCACCCCCCACCCCTTCTCCCCCACCCCGACCTCTTACCTCCTTGAGCTTGTCAGTCAAGATCTTGATCTCCTCTTCATACTTGTCCTCTTTCTGAGAGTACTGCAGACAGAGAGGGAAGGGGAAAGATACGTTCCTTGAGGCCCTGAGCGTAACGGCCCGTTCATCAACAAACCCCGTGACAGAGCTACTCTTTTCTTTTGGAAAAAGAAAGTCGTATCCGGACAGTCTCTTGGGAATTGCACAAACATACCAGAAAGGCCCAAGACCTTGGAAATCTGGCCTGTTTTATCCTGTCCACCGTCCAAAGTGCTCAGGGAAGCCCAGCCCACCTTGGGTGAAAGCCCAGGACTCCCTTTCACCAAAGGAAGACTTCCTCTCTTGAAACGGCTTGGAGCAGATTCACAGGATCCCACTCATGAAGCCGCTTTCTACTGAATGAGATCCCTGGCCCATCAAGGTCAATATTATCTACTCAGACTGGCAGCGGTTCTCCAGGGTCTCAGGAAGAGGTCTTTCACACTGTCGACTGCCTGGTCCTTTAACTGGAAATCCCAGGGAATGAACCAGGGACCTTCTGCACGCAAAGCAGATGCCCTACCCCTGAGCCGTGGCCCCTACCCAAACTGGCAGCTGCTCTCCAGGGTCTCAGGTTGAGGTCTATCACACATCACCTGCTACTTTTAACCGGGGATGCTGGGGATAGAACCTGAGACCGTCTGCATGCCAAGCAGATGCTCTACCACTGGGCCACAGCCCCTACTGAGACTGGCAACAGCTCTCCGGGGTCCCGGGCAGAGGTGTTAGACGTCATCTGCTATCTGGTCCTTTTAACTGGAGGTGCCAGGGATAGAACCTGGGACCTTCTGCGTGCTAAGCCGATGCTCTATCACTGAGTCGTCCCCCACTCTTTATTCTCCCCATCTGGTACTTTTAACACCCTATGTAGCAGATTAGGCCAAGAGACGGGGGGCTAACCCATGGGTCAGCCAGTGACTTCCTAAATTTATTTATTTATTCAAATTTATACCCCGCCCTCCCCCATAGGGGCTCAGGGCGGCTATTCGAATTAAGATACTCCCAGCTAAAGATGTGACTGTCTGGAGTAAGAAAACAAGCAGAAAAAAGGGGTGCGGTGAGGTTAATTTTTAATATTCTGATAAAAAGGGGGGAATATATGGAAAGACTTCAGTGAAATAGTTCTTTCTGGAATGAACAAAAGTGTTTTCTAGCGCAAGGTTTTATTCAATCAAGACACAGCACGGAAAGTTTTAGGTAAGAGTCTACACAGCATCAATGACAGGTAGCTCTGAAATATATAGCATAAACATATACAATGTATTTCAGGATGCTTGCTTAAATGCAAGCAGTTTGAGTTAAAGGAAGGAGATTGTTATTTCTGAGGCAACAACATTTCTAGAGATTTCACACCTCCATTCCCAGTCCTAACCTAACACTCTAATCTTGGGTGTCAAACATATGGCCCGTGGGCCAGAACCGGCCCTTCCAGAGCTCTTATCCGGCCTGCAAGGAACTCATGCTGTTTTCAGTCTGTGAGGGGATAGGGGTCATGGGAGGATCAAAAGCGTCCTCTGGAAGTTTTGGAAACAGCCTCTCTGTCAGGCCTTCCCCTCAGTCCTGCTGCATCTGTGGGAAATGCAGTAGGAATGAGAACTCGGAGTGGGGATCGGGGGCAGCCAGACTTTTGTAGGTTCCCCAGTAAATCAATTACTTTTCTTTGTCTTTTGAGTACAAAAATAATACTGGTAATTGGGCTGCCTGTGCCCTTTATAAAGCTTGTATTTCTAGTACCTGGCATTACCTTTTAAACTGACACTTATGTCAGATCCGGTCCTTGTTAACACGAGTTTGACACCTCTGCTCAAATCACTACGCTGGTTTCTTCATTTTCCTTGCTCTAAGGTGGAGGCAAGAAGCTGGATTTTACTACACTTGGACTTAAAAGCAAATCACTTTCACGTATGTCTCAGAGGCAATGCCAGGGGCCGAAGCTCCTTTGAGCATTTGTGCTGAGGGACTAAGGCTACTGTGCTGCTTTCAGAAGGAGAGCAGTTGGCCTCTTTCTCCACCCGCAAGGGACATGAATGGACAGCAGAAGTGGTACAGTCCTCTACGAGAAAGAGCACCTGCTCCATTTGTCTGGCTTCTTGTACTATGCCATTCTTATTTCTACAGTGGGGTGACCAAGTACAGCCCAAGATCATCTGAATGTAATTTATTTACTTCCCTCATGGCCCACTTTTCTCCCCCATGGGGACCCAAAGTGGCTTACAACATTTTCCCCTTCTCCGTTTCATCCTCACGACAACTCTGTGTGGTCTATTAGGCTGAGAGTACGTGACTGGCCCAAGGTCGCCCAGCAAGCTTCCATGGAACAAATGGGGATTCAAACCCGGGTTGCCCCAGTTCACAGTCTGACACTCTAGCCCAGGGGTGTTAAACTCATTTGTGATGAGGGCCGGATCTGACATAAATGAGACCTTGTTGGGTTGGGCCATGTCTGTCATAAAATGTAATGCCAGGTAGCGGAGATATAAACTTTATAAAGGATACAAACACAAAGGTTTTTTTTTAGCTTAAAATAAAAACATGCTTAAAACATTAGCACTCTTGAAATATTTTGTTTATTTAACAGTGTCTGATAACCGACACCTCTTGCTCTGAATTATTGCATCAAAATGTTTGTGCTGTTGCAATCTGGAGTATGCTGTTCAGGTGTGTATCTGTAAGCTGCAAACCTACGATGACGCAGCAGCAGCAGAACTGGAAGAAGCAGCAGAAGACAGCCAGTTCCACTGCAGGCCTGATAGAAGCCCTCCGGGGGCCTGATCCGGCCCACGAGCCACATGTTTGACACCCCTGCTCTTGCCATTACACCACACTGGTTCTGGCCGCAGCAGGGAATAACCCAATGCATGCCACCTACTTCCCTGTTAATCACTGTGTATTAACACCAGCTTATACGCCTGGTTTGGTTTAATTTGAGGGAAATTCGGGTCACCGGGCTGTCCGCCATCAGCTGAAGATCAAATCAGAAGCGGCCGAGGATACTCGCTGCCCCGCTGCTGTGCCATGCCTTGCGAGGACTTTGACTCTGAAGAAGTGAGCAGTGACTCACGAGAGCTCCTCCCCTGCCACGTATTTTGTTAGTCTTTAAGGTGCTCCTGGACTATGGCTCTTTTCGAGGACTTTTGAGTTAGTGGGAATTTGTGGCGCAAAACACACTTGCCATGCCATACGAAATTCCCCCTTCTGATGTACCTACAGGGCTCTCCATCTATACCAAAGACACATGACATGGCTTTATAACAAGCCAGACTACTGGTCCATCTAGCTCAGTGGTGGCCAAACTGCGGCTCGGGAAGTGAAAGGGAGGCATATGCCTCCCCAGTTGGTCTTCCCTTGCTTTCTTTCCACCTGTCCCTTCCTCCCCGCCATCAGTTTTCTTCCTTTCTTTCCACCTTTCTTTCTCTCTCTCTCTCCCCTCCCTCCCCATCTCAAGTTAAATATGCTTATCAATATCTGTTTTTACCCCTTTTGTTGTTTATTTTTGACAGTCTCATTTCATTTTAATAAAAAGCAAATTTGTATGTGTTCCAGTAAAAAATGTGTGTGCGATATCTGTCTTGCGGCTCTCAAACATCTGACGTTTATTCTGAGTGGCTCTTATGTTAAGCAAGTTTGGCCGCCCCTGTAGCTATTACCCGGCGACAGCTCTCCCGCTGCCAGAAGCCCTCTTAACTGGAGATACTAATGGCTAAACCTGGGGATTCTCGGTATGGAAAACAGATGTTTCGCTATGCACTCAGTACACAGCCTGCGTAAAGCATTTCCCCGTATTCAAGGCAGAAATCTCGATCCCTGGGCCCCGAGGCCGCCCCAGCAGCCGTGGGGGAAGGCACCCTACCTTCTCAGCCTGAGCCTCAAGAGACTTGAGATTGTTGGTGACATTCTTCAACTCTTCTTCCAGCTCTGAGCACTTACTGCAAAACGTTTGCGAGGGGGGAAAGAAGGAAGAGACAAAAAAAAGAAGTGGGGGGGAAGGGAGGGGCGGGAACCAGAGAGGATAGGAGAGAAGAGAGAAGAGAGTGAATGTATGGAATGGAGAGACGGCAGTGAATTTCAGGTGACGGGGCCGGCGGAGGCTGGCAACGGTTTTCCGAGTCACGGCGGAGGGACCGGCTCTTCAGGACCCAGGGCTACAGGCACCGGCGCTCTGCTTTGCTGACTGTGTAGTCAGGCCATCGAGAGGCATCGTCACAGTTGCGAGTTCAAGGCCAGCTATTTCTCCCCAGGCCAGTTTGGCTGGAGATCCTGGTGGTTTTTGCCATCTTCTGGGCATGTAGCAGGGGTCACTGTCAATGCTCCCTCTAAGATGAGCAAGAATTAACTCAGCTTAGTGGGCACACTGGTCACTGTGTGTGTGTGTGGGGGGGGTATTTGTGAATTTCCCACACTGTGCAGGGAGTTGGACTAAATGACCCTGGAGGTCCCTTCCAACTCTATGATTTCTCAAGAAGCAGACTTTTAGCAGCCCTCAAGGTTGCCGAGATGAACGTAACCACGTGGAGGTATCTGGTGGAGATGTAACTAAAGAGCAAAAGGGGAGAATGTGCCTGGATATGTGCCTGGATGTGGGCCGAGCGCTCCATTTTCCTACGTTCGGGTCCACCCTTACGCAGTGGCTGCTGGGCAGCTTCTCAACGCGCCTTGCTCTCCCTTCCTTCCCCTGCCACGCACTAACCCAGACTCTGGCCCCTGCCTCGTCTCCCACAAGGCAGGCAGAAAGTACCCTGAAGGTTCCCCGTGGGGAAGGAGACATGCACACCAGGTAAATGGCCATTGCGCCACGTTTTACTGGGTTTTGTGCAGGATATACCATCTGGTACTAAACTAGACCATCGGTATTGTTACGAAAATCCTGTGGGGGAGTTATACTGAAATTGCGCAAAGCCTTTCAAGACACGAAGTTGGACCACATTTCCTATCTGATCATAAGAACTTCAGAAGAGCCCTGCTGGATCAGACCAGCGAGGGTCCATGATCTAGTCCAGCATCCCGTCTCACACAGTGGCCTCAACCAGTTCCTCTGGAGGGCCAACAACAGGGCAGAGAGGCCGAGGCCTTCCCCTCATAAGAACGTCAGAAGAGTCCTGCTGGGTCAGACCAGTGAGGGTCCATCTAGTCCAGCATCTTGCTTCACACAGTGGCTCAACCAGTTCCTCTGGAGGGCCAACAACAGGGCAGAGGCCGAGGCCTTCCCCTCAAAAGACCATCAGAAGAGCCCTGCTGGATCAGACCGGTGAGGGTCCATCTAGTCCAGCATCCCGTCTCCCACAGTGGCCTCAACCAGTGGAGGGCCAGCAACAGGGCAGAGAGGCCGAGGCCTTCCGCTCATAAGGACATCAGAAGAGCCCTGCTGGGTCAGACCAGTGAGGGTCCCTCTAGTCCAGCATCCCGTCTCCCACAGTGGCCTCAACCAGTGGAGGGCCAGCAACAGGGCAGAGAGGCCGAGGCCTTCCGCTCATAAGGACATCAGAAGAGCCCTGCTGGGTCAGACCAGTGAGGGTCCCTCTAGTCCAGCATCCCGTCTCCCACAGTGGCCTCAACCAGTGGAGGGCCAGCAACAGGGCAGAGAGGCCGAGGCCTTCCGCTCATAAGGACATCAGAAGAGCCCTGCTGGGTCAGACCAGTGAGGGTCCCTCTAGTCCAGCATCCCGTCTCCCACAGTGGCCTCAACCAGTGGAGGGCCAGCAACAGGGCAGAGAGGCCGAGGCCTTCCGCTCATAAGGACATCAGAAGAGCCCTGCTGGGTCAGACCAGTGAGGGTCCCTCTAGTCCAGCATCCCGTCTCCCACAGTGGCCTCAACCAGTTCCTCTGGAGGGCCAACAAGAGGCAGAGAGGCCGAGGCCTTCCCCTCAAAAGACCATCAGAAGAGCCCTGCTGGATCAGACCAGTGAGGGTCCATCTAGTCCAGCATCCTGTCTCATACCATGGCTAACCAGTCTCTCTGGAGAGACTCTGGAGAGCCAACAACAGGGCACAGAGCCCGAGGCCTTCCCTGATGATGCATCCTGGCTCTGAGATTCAGGGGATTAGTGCCTCCGAATAGGAATGTTCTCCTCAGTCACCATGGCTAGTAGCCATTGAGAAATGTATTCTCCGTGAATCCACCTAATCCCCTTTCTAAAGCGGCTTAGTCTTGTGGCCATCCCTACATCCTCTGGCAGCAAATTCCACATTTTAATCACTCTTTGTCTTTGGTCCCTTCCTGAGCCTTTTAACGGGAGACTCTACAGACTGAACCTGAGACTTTCCTGCTTGCAAAACAGGTGCTCTACCACTAAGCCACAGCCCCTCCCTTAGGAACACATGCAACTGCCTTACACTCAATCAGACCCTTGGTCCCTCAGGGTCAAGACTGTGTACCCAGACTGGTGAGAGCTCTACAGGGCCTCAGGATGAGGTCTTCGACATCACCTCCCGCTCAACTCTTTTAACTGGAGTTGCCGGAAACTGAACCTTGGGACCGTCCTGAATGACCAGCGGCTGCTCTGCCACTGAGGCACAACCCCTCTCCTGAGGGCCACTAGGGGCCAACACAGAGTGAGTCCTTCCTGCCCAGCTGAAGGTGAAGTCAGAGGCCTCCGGCGGCCACATCGGTGCTTCCTGCATATGAGCCCCACATGTACAACTCCATGCTCCGGATCCCGTTCCTTGGGGAGCAGGGGACAGAGCCCTGGGGCAGAGGCAACGCCAAAAAGGGCCCCACTCCCTCTCCTGCGTCATTCTCTTCAACACAGCATGGTACACAAAGGGCCAGAGGGAAGCAAAAGTGAAGGCCGTTAGCGCAACATTGACGATGGCACAAGGCTACAAGGCCCGCAAGCTGCAGAGGCAGCAGGAGCGTGCAAAGCGGCTGCCTGTAGCGCTGGATCCAGTCTCGGAAGGAACCTGTTGCGCCTCGCGGCCCTTTTGGAAGAAGCCGGCCGGGCCGAGGAGCAGCCCCCGACGCCGACGCCTGCTGGACGGAAGTAAAAACGAGCCGAGTTCAGCGAGAGGGAGAGCGAGCGGAGCGTTCGGAGAAGCAGGAAAGGAAAGGCGGGGGGAAAGGGGGCACTTGAAGGCATTAAGAGGGGGTGGTAGGGAGGGGAAAAAAACAGGTTAGGGAGCTCAGGACTCGAGGGGAAGGGGAAGGATTAGTACCTTTTCTTCAGCCTGAGCAAGGAACTTCAGGTTTTGGTCCATCAACCGGATCTGCTCCTCCAGCTCCCGGCAATGGCTGTTAGGGAGGACCCCGAGGACAGGGGAGAGGTGAGGGAGCGGCGGTCGAAAAGGCGAGCAACAAAACACACGGAGCGAAGCAGTCGAAATGAGGGGGGGAGGGGGAGAGAGAAAGAAAAAGTCTTTCACATGCTGGGGGGCAGGGGCGGTGGAGGTGGTTTG